ATGGGAAGCTGGTCAGCAACCCCCCAATATTTAAATATAGGGAATATCCCAGAGAATTATAGTGGCAGGTAGGAATTAGAACCTGGGGAGGCAAGCAAATCTAGCTGGGCCAAGGGGCATGTGTGAGTGTTGGTGGGGGTGGGTGTAGGAGAGAGTGATTGGGTGGGGCTGGGTTTGGTCAGCAGTGGGTGTTTGGCAGGAGGGGGGGGGTTTAAATAGGAGCCATGTGCTTTCCTTCCCCCTGCCATTTTATAATCGACTAGGAATTGTTTACCTCCCTCCCTTTAGTTTTGTCTTGTGCTTTGGGTCATGTTTTGCGACGTTTTTTCACATGCCTTTTGTCACAGCAGGCAGGTGGTTGTCTTTGCCAATCGTGGGTTGGACTGGGGAGTCTTATGAGTGTGAAGGAAATTGGGGCTGACCCCTACCCTAGCCTCGGTGAAATTAAGGTTTTTTTTTTTTTTATGGAGTCAAAGGCCGGCTAGTGGTTGGCATGATGTTAGTGGAAGGCCACGTTTTGTGGCCAGTGTTAGTTGGGATGATGGGGGAGGTCAAAAGTGCCCAGGAGAATTCTGAGATTATGGATAATTGATGTTTCTGAAAATGTTGTTAAGTTATATGGTTTGATGTTCAAAATTATTAAAGTATAATATATATGAAGACAATTTGGCCTGAATTTGTGGGAGGAGTTATGACCCTTTATAAACCCTACCCCCCTACTTACCTTTGCTGTTTAAGCTGTTTTGATCTCCATAGTTACCTGTCCGTTGTTCCCGCCAGTCTTGCCTCAAACAAGCAGTCAGTATTCTGCAGCTCCTGCAGTCGTCCTCTGGGCTCTTCCACCGGCTGCCCCGCGGTATTCCTACTCGTTACTCGGCTATCGACTTTCCGGTCACGAGACCCGCACGCACACGTAAGTATCAATGTGGGAAATAGCGTTCGGCTATTTCCCACGTTCAGGCCTAAAAACGCGGGGATAGGCTCCCTAGATATATTTATATTACTTAACCGTTTGTGTAATTCCGTCGTTCTTGTACTTCTGCGTTCGTGCGGCTTTTTAGCCGACTGCAGAGTACACGTGCTTTCGTCCTTCTTTCGTTAAATATTTTATCGAACACTTAAACTCACCTTACGTTCGCCTGTTACGCACGTTCGTTAGACGAAACACAAACGAACGGCTGTGTCACTAGAATTTGGTTTCATAAAATCTATCACACGCAATCCTATTATATTCCTCTTGCACGTTCTTTAGCCGAACGCATGAGGTTTTAAGCATTTAGTTTTAATATTTAAGTATGTTCCTCTATGTATTATTTTTTAACATATGTTCACGGTTCTCCCTACATTTTCTCTTACTCTAAATGGCATTGTTCGCCACTCATTGTTACAATTAATTATGTTTATATTCCCAGGGGTATTCTCTTAAAGAAACAAAAAAACGGTTTGTTTTTTCCTCTCTCAATAGGGCTGAGCCCCATCAAACCTCTTAAATTTGTCAAACTCCATGCTCACTTTTTTTCAGTAGCTCTTATTCTAAATCTCTGTTTATATTGAAATACTATACTCAGGTTCCTTATTCTTACTTAATGAAAATGTTTTAGTTTGTACTACTCTGGTTCCAGTATCCCGTATCACGGTATCAGGTAAAAAAGATAAAAATTTTACGTTTCAGCCTCCACGGCCTTTTTTACAATACCCTCCCACCTCCCAAAGTGGGCTCAGAACTTTAAACACACCAGGTTTAAAGATGCTTCACTTTCCATGTTACTATTATATCAAGTGTTAATTCTGTTTTTATTTCACATATCATTGCTTAGACCTGCACCATTGCGCTGATTCAATACGCCTTCAACGACCATCAGGCTACCTGGTTCCCGACGTTTCAGTAGCAGGTATCCTTAAATCTTACTCACTACAATTAAGTCCTTCTAAGGCCTCACTTCGCCTTCATATCTGTCACAAAATACTGCTCAGTTGTGGGATCCCAGGGGCTTGTCTCAAAAATTTTGGACCAACGTTCAGGTCCCTCTGATTACACAGGTGTTTACGATACAGTTTGACTGTGCCACACACCATTCCATACATTCTACATTTTTACACTTGGCTTACCAATGGCACGCCTCAGGCCTACTAGCATCTTTCTTACCCCTAGGTTCCTGGACTGGACCTGTTCTTCACAGTATATATAGACATATATATTAAAGTCGCCCTAAGCATTGTTCAAATATACAGAACAAACACTCAAGGTCAGTATCTACATACGTTATATACTTCCTTCAAGAGACGAGCCCCGTCAGGGTAAAGAACTGGCTTTCAGGGTCAGGTGCTGGCCCTAGCTTCTCCTAATAATACTGTGGTCCGCGAGGTCTACACCCCTACCTCATACACGGAGGTTCAGCCCCACGACCAAATCATAGCTAGCCACCTCGCTCGCTCTTCTTTAGGGCTACAGTTAGGGCTTCCCATGTCACGGCCACACATTTTGAATCTCTTACAGTCACCGAGAGGCCGACATCCTGCCACCTCGTTCTGGTGGCCACAAAACCCCCTCGGCCCAAATCATAGGTAGAGCCTCTCACCGCCGCTGGGCAATAGCAGAACCTCACCTGTCACTTGGTTCTAGTTATAATTCTTTGCTTCGGCATTAGCTAGCAGGCTAGTTCTCCTGAGGTCTCATCCCACCTCCACTATACCCTACTTATCCATATCATTATTCCTTTCAGGATGTCTCAAGAACGAATCATCCAGGGCCGGACTGGCCCACCGGGATACCAGGAAATTTCCCGGTGGGCCGTTGGCACCTGGGGCCGGGCAGGCAGCTGGCTCACCTGCGGCCGCAGAGGGAGCTTCCTTGGCGGCCGCAGGGGGAGCTGGCTGTTCTGTCTCTGCTCCCCCTCCCCAGCGCGCTAGAAAGAGACCGGGGCCGGAATATGCCGTCATATTCCGGCCCCGGTCTCAGTAAGCACAGTGTGTGTGTCTGTCTGTGTCATGCAATGTGTGTCTGTGTCATGGTGTGTGTGTGTCTCTGACTGTCATGGTGTGTGCGTCTGTCTGTGTCACAGTCTGTCTGTCATGGTGTGTGTGTGTTTTTCATGGTGTGTGTGTTTGTCATGGTGTGTGTCTGTCTGTGTCATGTAATGTGTGTCTGTGTCACGATCTCTCTGTGTCGTGGTGTGTGTCTGTGTGTCATGGTGTGTCTGTGTCGTGTGTGTGTCTGTGTCACGGTCTGTGTTATGGTGTGTGTGTCAAGGTGTGTATGTCTTTTTTAAGGTGTGTCTGTCATGGTATGTGTCTGTCTCTGTCATGGTGTGTGTCTGTCTGTGTCAGTGCTGTGGTGGCGTCATGTGAACCACGTGAGCAGGAACGGGTACTGGATCGGGAATGTGTTCTGGCACAGCAGCAACAGCTTCTTGAAGGACTATGAGGGGAGGCTGCAAGTGGATTGCAGCCTCCCCTCATAGCCGCCCGAGGAGCCCTGACAATACCCAGCACACCAGCCAGGCCTGAGTCTCCGGTGGAATCCCTCACTCCTTCTACTCCCAGATCCCTAAGATATTGGACCATTCCAAAAATATCGGCTAAACTCAAGCTCAGGGGGATCCCCTTTCCAGCCACTGCCATAAAGGCAGAACTTTATAAACTGCTGACGACTCAGGCTAATGACCCAAGGCCCGGCACGAGTTCACAACGGCCTCAAGGTGGCTACTCTGATTCCACCCAGGAAATTCTGGTGGCTATACTGGCCAATCTGCAAGCCATTAACAGCAGGTTGCTGAAGGTGGAATCGGCCATAGCCACTCCAGGTGACTTAGCCCCAGCAGTCCCTACACTGGTAACCTCGACCGCTCTGACTGCCATAACCCTCATCTCCCCTCCACCACCAGCCACTACCACTCCCACTGCCCACACCTCACCAGCCCACTCTGTCCCGGCTTCCATCAAGAAAGATATTCTTGATGGAAAGGACGTCAATTTAATGTCCCTCCTCATAGCCTCCCAAGACATCCTAGAAAATAGAGCATATAACTACGGGGACATTTTGGTTGTCTTAAGAGCTAGAGACCCACATTTGAATAAAAAAACTCACCATCCCACAGTTTATCGCGTTTGGCACTTATCTCGACGTTATCTGCATGGTGTACCCACATAGGAGAGAAGAGCTTGATTTATATATGCAGAAGGTGGTCGATTTGGGCATCAAGTATGGAGGGTCCTCATTTTACGATTACCACAAATCAGTTTCGGCCAAGGCAGCTACTCATCTGACACAATTCAATATTAGAATCGATTGGTGTCAGATAGATACTGAGTAATCCTGCTGTCATTTTGCTGGTTTGAGGCCCCCGTCTTGTGCCTCTTGTGGTTCCACTTCACACTCCACCGATCTATGCCCTGGGTACACAGACCCTTCCACTTTGTCACCCCACCACCCCCTCACCCCACTCCCAAGACAGGAAGGTGTCCAGAGATACAAGCTGGGCAGACTCATCACATTCTTGGGTAAGGCGCAGGTGTGCAATAACTTTAACATAGGCATGTGCAGCTACAGCGCATGCAGGTTGTTGCACATCTGAGAGCTTCAGTGCCCACACCAAGACCATGTGCCCGACCCGTCTGACACCTAACAAATAAGCTGGTTCATCACGCATCAAATCATATGACGACATCACGTCCAGACCATGGCCCATCCCATTCGCAACCTAACCCATCACGGGGGGCTGCTTACTTGCACTCCAAGTAATAAAGTTGTTATTTGACTTTTTCCTTTCCCTCCAGATCCTGGAGTAGTTTCTGTCATACCAATGTATAATTTTGTTGTTATTTGTCTACATTCTACTATTCCAGCATGTAGGGATACATGGTTAAGCAAGATAGATATATCTTACACCTCATTTACTACACCTCCTCTACTCAGCTGCTAACACTCTTTCATGTTCTTAAATTTCAGGTCTCCGGCCAGGCTCCCCCTCCGGCCCACCTCCAATCAGCCGGGACACCATCATTCCTCCAGCTAACCCTGGTTTCTCCCAACACCACTATCTCTTACGCTAGGGCACTGACTATCTTTAACAAATTCACAGCTGAGTTTTGCTTACAAGGTGACCTTTCCATCAAAACCATGGTGGCTTTTGCCTCCTTTTGCCATTTACACCTAAAACTTTCACATAATACCATCAAACTCTACCTTACCGGAGTACAACACCACATCCTCACTAACTTCCCTAACCACGCTCCTTTTCTTTCTTCCTACCCCATTAAGAAAATCCTCAAAGGTATTTTCAAGGTCACAGTCCCTCCTAGCACGACTAGGCTACCAATAGACGGTCCAATATTCCGGCTCCTTAGCGACCTATTGGACAAATCCCCGTTTGACCATAATACTAATTTAGTCATTAAATCTGCCGTCTTTTTGGCCTTCTACGGTTTCCTCAGACCTAGAGAGTTCACCGTGATACGTCAAGGAGACACAGTACGATGCCTCAAACTTTCTCACTTAAAAAAAGTAGACGACCATTTTGTACTCTCTTTGCCTTCTACCAAAACTAATTACTCTGTCTATCCCACTATCATTCCCCTTTTCCCTACCGAAAATTTGTGGTGCCCTGTACATGTTCTGGATATGCTCCTGGTTTCTCACCTCACGCACTCACCAGATACTCCACTACTTTTACTCCAAGGACACCCACTCACCACAGCTAAATTTATGTCACACATCAGAACTCTATTGTCAAGGTTAGGCTACAACCCAGCTTCCTTCTCTGGTCACTAATTTTGCATCGGCGCAGCATCATCAGCTTCAAGCAGCTTCAAGCACACTCTGGTACACATCATTAAGAGGCTGGGACGCTGGAAATACTGCTTCCTTTCAAGCCTCCTGAAAGGAACTCTATCTAATTCAAAAAACGGATCTGCTACTACCAACTCCCTTTCTTCTATGATAGGGGAGAGAAAACCAACAATGTGTTTTTGTCACGGCAGCTAGTGTGGTCCAACACGCAGAAACTATGTAAATATATACATACAAAAGAAAAGGAAAATAAAAAGGACAGAGCGTAAACCAGACCTTAGAATGGCCGGACTGGAGTCTAAAACAGAACGAACCTCGTACTCCTCCTGGTCACCCACTACTAAAAGGCGGAGGAGGAGCGGAAACTCTAGTATATCGATTGCAAGTCAGAGGCTTGAGCAATGATACATGAAATGAATTGGAGTGCCAAGGAATAAGTCACAGGGTTGATACGGCGGAGGATCCAAAAAGGACCGATGTACCGAGGGGCAAATTTCATGGTGGAACTTTAAGTTTGATATGACATGTGGACAGCCACACCTTGTCACCAGGTTGGTAAACAGGATTGGCACCCAGTCTCTTGTCAGCTTGGATTTTAGCATGTTTTGATGCCTTTTGTAATGCTGTATGAATGGAATTCCAAGTATCATGAATATAATTTAAACGAGTGTTCAAGGCAGGAATATCTGTGTTTGAAAACTCAGAAGGGAAAACAGTGGGGTGATTTACATAAAATGGACTATAATTAGAGGATTCATGAGTCACATTATTTCTGGCAAACTCAGCCATGGGTAAGAGTTCATACCAGTTAGACTGATTGGCATCGATAAAACAACGTAAATAAGATTCTAAGGACTGATTGGCCCTCTCTGCTGCACCATTATCTGAGGGTGATATGCTGAGGAAAATGAAAGTTCTATACCCAATTGTTTACAAAAGGCACGCCTGAACCTAGAAATAAATTGGGTACCTCTGTCAGAAACTATATTTTCAGGCACCCCATGTAAGCGAAATATCTCTTTTAAAAATATTTGTACAAAATCTTGAGCAGATGGTAATTTTTTAAGAGGTACAAAATGTGCCATTTTTGAGAATCTATGACCATAAGGATTGTGTTAAACCCGTTTGAGCTGGGCAGATCCACCATGAAATCCATGGCTAAATGGGTCCATGGAGCAGTAGGTATAGGTAATGGTTGTAGACAAGCCAGGAGGTGGTTTGTGAGAGGATTTAGAAACGGCATATATTTGACATGACCCTACATAATCCCCCTAGGTAATGGTTGTAGACAAGCCAGGAGGTGGTTTGTGAGAGGATTTAGAAATGGCATATATTTGACATCCCCCTACATAATCCTTGATGTCATTTCTAAGTGTAGGCCACCAGAACCTCCTGGAGATAGCAGAGAGAGTTTTATGGACTCCCGGATGACCTACTGTCAGATTATCATGGAATAAACCAAGTACCTTTTTCTTAATGGTGGTGAAACGTACAGTTTATCCGGAGGTCTCTCCACAGGTGCCTGGGTTTGATCTGCGATTATAGCACAGAAGAGTGGAGAGGACACTTCAGAAACAGTAGTAGCAGTGAGGCATTCTGGATGTATGACAGGGGATACCTCGTGTTCAGGAATCTCATCTGTCTCAAACTGTCTAGACAATGCATCTGCCTTGGTGTTCTTGGTCCCGGGCCTATAGGTAATTACAAAAAGTTAAATCAGGAGAGGAACAGTGACCATCTAGCCTGATGAGAGGACAATCTCTTAGCATCCCCAATATAAGCCAAATTCATGTGATTGCCAAGGAGGCAGGGCCAAAAGCCAGTCAAGCCAATCAGCATCTCCTCAAAGAGATCCATTGAATCAATGCCTCTCTATGATAAAAGTTCAGTGTCTCCATACTGTGCAGCACTGGCCCAGGAAGCACCTCCATTGGCAATCTGAGGAGTGGTCACTGGAGGAGTCTTTAGGCTTTAATGTAAACCTTCTCTGAAAAGACAGTGTTTGCATGGAAACTGTAGTTGTTCTGGTGACTATAGTGTTCTTTAATATATCATACTATCTACTCAAGTTAATATTCTCTCAATTATACAGATTATGCTTTAGGAAAATTCACTCTGTTCCAAAGAAATTTTTAGCCTACTCCACTAAAATCTGAATTAAATTTTATAAAACAGACCAAAGTAGGGAATTTGCAGAGTAGAAGCTTTCAGAAATTAAAGGGACACGAAAGTCACCAGAACAATTACAGCTTAGTGTAGTTCTTCTGGTGTCTATGGCCTGTTCCTAAAGGCTTTTTAATGTAAACACTGCCTTTTCTTGTCCAACTGTGACAAGAACCGCTAGGCAATGGAAAAAAAAGGCGCTGCAGATCTATAGATCTTAGAGCTATAGTGTCATAAATACATGTTTGTATTCCTGACACTATTGTGTTCCTTTAAAGTCAGGTAAAGTTGTGACCTGGTGATACAAGCATCTAGTATTCATAAATTTTAAATGAAAGTCAAATTTAATTTGACAAAGTAAAGCATACCAATGAAAACAGTCAGGACAGCGCATGCTCAATTGACCATGTGCTCATGTACACTGTGGTGTTGAAAGAGTTAATGGTGCTGTGAGCTGCACATGCACACTCAGCATTGCGAGTTCTTCGGCTTTGGTGCCAGGAGCAATGCCCTCGCAGTCTGCTGTTATACTAAGTGTCCACACAGTAAGTGTTCCGATTGTAGCGCTTGTCCTCGAGGACATTTTTCAGCGGGAAAAAAACCTACTATATAAGCTGTTCTGAGGTAACCGCGCAGTGCCAGCAGAACCAATAGTGAACTGGGTGCCTGCAATTTTGTGCTGCAACTGCTTCCCTGCCCTCCCTTCCTATTTTTTTTTTTTTTTGTTGTGGTCTTTTACTGTGATAAGGTCACTTACCTATTCCATTGGGGGTGGTTTTTGATATGTTTAAAGGATCACTATAGGGTCAGGAACGCAAACATGTATTCCTGATCCCAAAGTGAAAAGCCCCCCTCATTCCCCCTCAGAATGTGTTAAAACTCACCTTATTTTCATCTCTCCACAAGTCTACCGGTGCTGGCCCCTTCCCTTTGGTGACATCATCAAAATTGCAGATTTTTAGCCAATCCAATGCTTTCCCATGAATTTGACAAAGTTTTTCGGTTACAAGTTACCTGGTTTTCAAAGTGAGTTAAGTTATTGTTACAGTGTGTTTATGAACTAAATAAAAGACCACAACCTTTTCTTCAACATATCTGTCTCAGTGTGTTTATTATTCCAATTATACTTATATGTGATTTCTTATGTATATGGTTTTAATTCTAAATCCTGCAGGGCACAAGATAATTGCTTCAGAGTTAACGGCTCATGGAAGCCAATAATAAAACCCCAGCTGTTAACCTGCAATCAGCAAGATATACAAAGGTTAAACACTGCCATCAAACTTAGAAAAATTGTCTTTATCAATGATGAGATGGTACCTGGCAATAGAAATACTTTGGAAGCAACTTCTCTCCTGTCAGGTGGGCGGACCCATAAGGAGCAGCCTCATGGGGTTTGATGGAGCGGAGGTTTGTGGGTAAGTATCAATAGGTCAATTTCAGGGGTAGCGCAATGGCCGCGCGCATTAGACCTCCCCATAGGAAAGCATTATTCAATGCTTTTCTATGGGGATTCCGGCGACGCTGGAGGTCCTCATGCATAGTGTACTATACTTTTTGTGTTCTAAGAAGCCGGATGTCCCTAGATGAGGACTTAACCCTGCAAGGTAAATATTGCAGTTTATAAAAACTGCAATAATTACACTTGCAGGGTTAAGGGTGATGGGAGTTGGCACACAGACCACTCTGTGGTCAGACGTGGTCTGGGTGCCTGGAGTGTCCCTTTAAAAATGCAACATTCAAACCCGATGTATATGCATAGTGTGTGCACATATAAAGAACTATTAACTGTTATTGAACATTACCAGCCTCCATTTTGGAAATCAGGACTCGTTCACTGCAGTGGGAGGGGCAACCCTACAGGTTCGGTAACACCTGCACTCCATCTAAAGTGGTTGATTGCTTATCCTGAAACAGGTGTTGGAGAAGAACTCTAATGCATTGTAAAAGGCATTATGTGTCGCTTACCCTCTTCAGTTCATAAAATAAAGTAGAGAGTCCAGTTTGTAATGGATACATACCCTGTGCAAAGTACATTTGTTTTGGTATAACTGGGTTGTATTCCTTTTCAGCTCACACAGATCCTATATCAGTTGCACATACTAAGTATACGATGGCTGTGCATATATTGGGGTTGTATAATAACACCATCTTGTAAACAGGATATACTAATGATAATCACATATACCGAGGCTGTGTATTAACAGTACATCACACAGAGACACCACCTACTGTATACAGTGACACAGTCTCCACACCAGCGCATATTATAGGAGTCAGATAAATGGAGGCAGTGTTTCCATAGCACTTCATAAATAGAGATTTATATCACTCACATATACTGAAGCTGTGACTAACAGCAACCCTTTGGTTAGACGTACAGTATATACTTAAGTTGTCTTCACCACAGCTCATACACAAAGATTATATTTGGCTCATATTGAGGCTTTGTCTTTATATCATTCAACTATACTGAGGCTGTGTCTGTACAATAATACACAGAGCATATAGCGGACACATACTGAGGCTGTGTCTTCACAGTAACCCATACACAGGGCATGTAGAGGACACGTACTGAGGCTGTGGTTCACACCAGCTCATATACAGAGATAATCAGTTACACATACTGAGGCTGTGTCTTCACAGTAACCCATACACAGGGCATGTAGAGGACACATATACTGAGGCTGTGGTTCACACCAGCTCATATACAGAGATAATCAGTTACACATACTGAGGCTGTGTCTTCACACCAGCACATACTGAGAGGCTATCTTGGTCTCACATGTTGATTTAGATAAACAAACAATATGTTACCTTTCTCACTCTGAAAGGAGCCTGCTTTTGTGATAAAATGCATAGGTAACCACAATCATTACCACATGCCTTGATAGGAACAAGTGTCAATGTGGACTTGGGTTTTTATACCCATGATATATACAAGTGTGCACTACAGTCACCCAGAAAAGCTCTCCCTTACCGTGGGTAATGGTCTCTTGTCTTGCCTTGAAGAGGACTTTATACAGCCAGGATATTAGCACCACTCTTTCCTATAATGCATGATGGAATTTATAAACTTACCTACGGTAAATGCTCACCACAAATTGCCTAAATGTGACCTATTTGTTAGAAGGAAGCCCAATGTAAGCAACTGGCAGGAACTGAATTAACAGAAACTCAGGTACTTATGCCAGTCTTTAATCTAAATTACTAATGTATTTACCTGAGGTGGGAAAATAATCTAAACATCCATACAGATGAACTACTGTATGAGACAGATGAGCTACAGCAGGCCTGGATTTCAGTGGCAAATGGGGATTTGAACAACTGACCGCCTAAACCTTTTAAACTATAGGCTTCCATGGCACCCCATTTGCCATTAATCAGCACCAGTGGGGGAAGGTTTAACCCCTTAAAGGAGCACTATAGGGTTATTAGGTTTGTGTCCCCTGCTGTGCTCAAGGAGTTAAAACCCCTTCAACCACTTACCTTAATCCAGCTCCAGGCTCCCTCTGGGCTGGTGACCTCTCCTCCCCTTGCTGACGTCAGCTCCGAATGAGCATGCACGGCAAGAAACGCGCACCCATTCAAACCCGCCCATAGGAAAGCATTACTCAATGCATTTTATAATATATTATACATATATAATACATATATAGGATTTCATTATAAGTGTACTTTGATATATATATATATATATATATATATATATACATATATACACACACACACACACACACTAGTATGTAAAAATGTCATTTTTTTCCCTCCTCACCACAAACATTGGCATAAATTGGTGTAAAAATGATGACAAGTTAAAGCACAATATACGCCATATAGATACCCTGGACTGTCTGCTTTATCAAATGGAAGCCCTTTGTGGAGTTATTTGAATAGTCAAACTGCTATAATACCCCTAAATGAGACATAGGCTCGTCAAATCCATCTATGAAAATTCTAACTATAGAAACTGAAATAGCCTTGTCTCTTAAATGGCATTGTAGCTTCACAGACTAGTGCCAAAGGCATACAAAGGGGGTATCATTATACTCGGCAGATGTAGCTGAACACAATATTGGGTTCTGTGCAGGAATAGCCACACCTTGTTATTTGTGTATATGCCAAAATAGAGAAAAACTCAAATTTTACTCCAATAATTAGCAGAGATTGGCAATAAAATGGTTATGTAAAAAGTGTCAAACTAACCTTAGGTAAATAGTCTGTGATGTCTACTTTATATAAATATATACTTCTGTGTGGCAATTTTGTTTTCTGTGATGGCTACTAAACTTACAAGACAAACATACCAACTTCTAAAATTGTTTCACATTGAAATTTTAGTTTAGACCTTGTATTTTGTCACCTGTCACTTTCAAAATAAGCTTAAATCCTACACATATTATGTAGTCCATAAATCAATACACATAAATTAATTTATTTAGAATGACTTTTAGTAAGCTAGACATATTATGCACAGGCTATTATTGCCAAAACTGTGGAAAAAAAGTGTTTTCCCCCCCATTTTTTGGCATTTATTTTTTTTAGAATTAATGAGAATCTATCTATGTATACAGTTGCAAGAAAAAGTATGTGAACCCTTTGGAATGATATGGATTTCTGCACAAAATGGTCATAAAATGTGATCTAATCATCATCTAAGTCACAACAGTAGAAAATCACAGTCTGCTTAAACCAGTGGAAGTCAACCTTTTTCTACCTACCGCCCACTAATGCATCTTTCTTGATGGAAAAATTTCCTTACCGCCCACCAGTTTTCGCGCAAGTGCGGAATATTTTTTAGAAAGGAGGGTGTTTTAAAAAAAAATTAATGTACGTACATTTTTCTTTTTATTTCTACATAATGCATTTTTATAATGTTTTTAACTTTATAAATTTTAATTGGAAAACAATAAAGTAAATTGAAATTACCTTTACTAGTGATTAATGAGATCCTTGAGGCTGATGCTGCAAGACTAAATATTTGATATCTGGTTCGATTTTCGTAAGGAACAAACAAAGGTCTCCTCTTTCGGTGATATTCAGACGACTTCTCTGTTTGCGCATAATATGATTTCTCATCTGTGTGTCAGCTCATCTCTCTCCTCAATTCCCCTCCCCACCTTTTTTTATCCCTTTTTTTTATTTTTTTAACCTTCCTTATAGTAATGCCCAGTAGGAACGCTTAGCTCGGTAGCCCACTATAACAGACAGGCACACATACATACACACACACACACATAAAAAGACACATACAAACAGACAGGCACACATACAGACAGGCACACCTAGACAGGCACACATACAGACACACAGACAGGCACACAGACATACATACAGAAAAACAGACAGGCACACATACAGACACACACACACACACACACACAAGACACATACATACAGACACACACATCCATACAAACAGACAGGTACACATACATACAGACACACACATACATACAAACAGACAGGTACACATAGATACAGACACACACATACATACAGACAGGTACACATACACACACAGACAGACACAAGACACACACACACACACACACACACACACGACATACATGCATAGACACAAAATATTTTTTCCAGTGGTGGCTCAGGTGCATGGGAGTCAGAGTTCCCACTCTGACTCCCTGGTCTCACTCCCGCGCGGCTCTCAGTTTTAGCTGGGAGGAGTGACGTGCAGTCACTTCCTCCCAGCGTGTAATGTCATAATAGGGGGCCCGGTCACGCTGTTAAAGCGCCCAGCGCTGACCGGGCCCCCTCTCAATCCACATCCGTCGGGTGGCCCTGACAGCATGGGCCACCCGATGGACCCCTTGGGTGGTGACCCCTGCGGTTTGCCACGCGGGCCGGGGGCTGAAAATGGTGACGGCGGTACCCGGTCACCCGGGTACCGCCGGCTCGCACCCGCCCACCCAATCTCTGAAATCCCTACCACCCACCTGGAATCCTGAAACACCCACTAGTGGGCGGTAGGGACCAGGTTGACGACCCATGGCTTAAACTAATAACACACAAAGAATGAAATGTTGCCATGTTTTTATTGAACACACCATGTAAACATTCACAGTGCAGGTGGAAAAAGTATGTCAACCCTTGGATTTAATAACTGGTTGAACCTCCTTTGGCAGCAATAACTTCAACCAAACATTTCCTGTAGTTGCAGATCAGACGTGCACAATGGTCAGGAGTAATTCGTGACCATTCCGCTTTACAGAACTGTTTCAGTTCAGCAATATTCTTGGGATGTCTGGTGTGAATCGCTTTCTTGAGGTCATGCCACAGCATCTCAATTGGGTTGAGGTCAGGACACTTCAGAAGGCGTATTTTCTTCTGTTTAAGCCATTCAGTTGTTGATTTACTTCTATGCTTTGGGTCATTGTCCTGTTGCAACACCCATCTTCTGTTGAGCTTCAGCTGGTAGACAGATGGCCTTAAGTTCTCCTGCAAAATGTCTTGATAAACTTGGGAATTCATTTTTCCTTCGATGATAGCAATCCGTCCAGGCCCTGACGCAGCAAAGCAGCCCCAAACCATGATGCCCCCACCACCATACTTCACAGTTGGGATGAGGTTTTGATGTTGGTGTGCTGTGCCTTTTTTTCGCCACACATAGTGTTGTGTGTTTCTTCCAAACAACTCAACTTTGGTTTCATCTGTCCACAGAATATTTTGCCAGTACTGCTGTGGAACATCCAGGTGCTCTTGTGCAAACTGTAAACGTGCAGCAATGTTTTGTTTGGACAGCAGTGGCTTCCTCTGTGGTATCCTCCCATGAAATCCATTATTGTTTAGTGTTTTACGTATTGTAGATTCGCTAACAGGGATGTTAGCATTTGCCAGTGACTTTTGTAAGTCTTTGGCTGACACTCTAGGATTCTTCTTCACCGCATTGAGCAGTCTGCGCTGTGCTCTTGCAGTCATCTTTACAGGACAGCCACTCCTAGGGAGAGTAGCAGCAGTGCTGAACTTTCTCCATTTATAGACAATTTGTCTTACCGTGGACTGATGAACAGCAAGGCTTTTGGAGATACTTTTATAACCCTTTCCAGCTTTATGCAAGTCAACAATTCTTAATCGTAGGTCTTCTGAGAGCTCTTTTGTGCGAGGCATCATTCACATCAGGCAATGCTTCTTGTGAAAAGCAAACCCAGAACTGGTGTGTGTTTTTTATAGGGCAGGGCAGCTGTAACCAACACCTCCAATCTCATCTCATTGATTGGACTCCAGTTGGCTGACATCTCACTCCAATTAGCTCTTGGAGATGTCATTAGTCTAGGGGTTCATATACTTTTTCCACCTGAACTGTGAATGTTTACATGGTGTGTTCAATAAAAACAAGGCAACATTTCATTCTTTGTGTGTTATTAGTTTAAGCAGACTGTGATTGTCTATTGTTGTGACTTATGATGATCAGATCACATTTTATGACCAATTTGTGCAGAAATCCATATCATTCCAAAGGGTTCACATACTTTTTCTTGCAACTGTATGTGACATCAAATTAAAGCCCTTTTTTGCCCTCTAAAAAAAACTGTATATAATATGTTTTGTTGCAAATAAATGACACAGGTGCAAATTGCGTTTGAATGCAAACAGCAAAAAGTTCAAAAATGGCTTGTGTCCTTAAGTGTAAGACAAGCTTTTGAAGCGGTGTCCTTAAGGGGTTAAAACAGACCCCGGATATGGTGGTATACAAAAACTAAGTATACCTAGGTAGTCACTTTATGGAAGTGGAGTTTACTGGGTCTTCAGGGAAGGAGTTGAGCCTCATGTATCCAGTGGACCACTGTCATCCCCTGAGGGAGAGATTGGTTCAGACCCCTGGTCACTAAAGGGCATACCCAGGCTGGCAACTCTTACATATGTGCCATTAGCTGGGTCTCCAGGGCTTAGAGGTTGAACCCTGGCAGGGCTACAAAAACATTGGCCCAGGGAATATAGAAGAAAATTCTAGGCCTGCCTAAGCAGACTCCTTCAAAACTGCTGTGAAAGACAGGGAGGGTGAGGGGAAGACTGGCTGATGGGAAAGGGGAGGGTCTATTTATACCAGTTTCAGAGTTCTATTTCCTGTCATTTCTGCTGTGAGCGGAGGAGCTAACCCATGAGTAAATGCTGCCATGATTGATCAGGAAAAGTGATGAACGATAACTTGCTACATTTGTGAGGCCTGTGAGTCTTGACTATAGTGAATGCAACATACTGGGTCCTGCGACTCCCTTTTATTATACCTCTATTCAACACCTTTGGAAAAATCACAATAAAAAGAAAGATTCACCAAACAAAAAAAAAATTCAGAATAATAATAAGGAACTCTGCATAGTTTATGACTGACCGTTACTTTAATAGACAGTGGTCCTAGACTTGTGAGGACTGTCCCATGGAATCATGAAGCATAATGTAACTGTAGCAGGTTTTCCTGGGTTTGGGATGAAGTGATGGAATCGAGAAGTTTCAGCTCTTGAAGATACATATACGAGATGCTGTGTAGACTCTGCTGGCCAGTTTGTGTGCGAGTCTCTTCAGGTTGAAATGCTTGGAGCTGCTGTCCAGAAGGCACAGACAAGTATCCAGATCTGTCTATATCTGGGACAGTTCCTCTTGACATCTTAAATAAAGGTGACTTCTTTTTTATCTTGCTTTTCACAAGAAGCATTGCCTGATGTGAATGATGCCTCGCACAAAAGAGCTCTCAGAAGACCTACGATTAAGAATTGTTGACTTGCATAAAGCTGGAAAAGGTTATAAAAGTATCTCCAAAAGCCTTGCTGTTCATCAGTCCACGGTAAGACAAATTGTCTATAAATGGAGAAAGTTCAGCACTGCTGCTACTCTCCCTAGGAGTGGCTGTCCTGTAAAGATGACTGCAAGAGCACAGCGCAGACTGCTCAATGCGGTGAAGAAGAATCCTAGAGTGTCAGCCAAAGACTTACAAAAGTCACTGGCAAATGCTAACATCCCTGTTAGCGAATCTACAATACGTAAAACACTAAACAAGAATGGATTTCATGGGAGGATACCACAGAGGAATCCACTGCTGTCCAAACAAAACATTGCTGCACGTTTAGTTTGCACAAGAGCACCTGGATGTTCCACAGCAGTACTGGCAAAATATTCTGTGGACAGATGAAACCAAAGATGAGTTGTTTGGAAGAAACACACAACACTATGTGTGGCGAAAAAAAAGGCACAGCACACCAACATCAAAACCTCATCCCAACTGTGAAGTATGGTGGTGGGGGCATCATGCTTTGGGGCTGCTTTGCTGCGTCAGGGCCTGGCCGGATTGCTATCATCGAAGGAAAAATGAATTCCCAAGTTTATCAAGACATTTTGCAGGAGAACTTAAGGCCATCTGTCTACCAGCTGAAGCTCAACAGAAGATGGGTGTTGCAACAGGACAATGACCCAAAGCATAGAAGTAAATCAACAACAGAATGGCTTAAACAGAAGAAAATACGCCTTCTGAAGTGTATGGCTGTTGATTTTATATTGCTGCAGATGGAACGGGCGTTCCAGAGTACAGACTGAAGATTGGTAGATGGGGATAGACAGCATGGTATCGGGATAAGGTTTGTGTGGTTTCTGGTTGACTTAGTGTGAGTAGAGGAGATGATGGGCCCTGGGTTGAGAGAGATCACCAGCTGCTAAAAGCAGGAGGAGAGATAGAGGTGTAGGCAGATTTTATATGGATGGAGTCTGGGATGAGATTGAGTGGGAGAAGGATGGAGAGAATAGAGAAATGAGTGCAGGGCATGATATGAAAGAAGGGGGAGTACAGTACAGAGGGGTTAATGTGGAGGTTGAGGGAAGTAGGCATTCAGAGAGATTTTGATACGGAGGGAGAAAAGGGAAAATAAGAGGAGGACAAGATAGAGCATTACTCAGATGGGTATGCACTTCCAGAAAAAATAAATAAATTGGGAGTAGGCCAGGGGAGGCACAGAGAGGAGATGCAGTGATGTAGGAATGTAGGCTAGAGTCTAACATGCAGAAATGAGGAAGTGAAGAGTGTATGTTAGGGGTTACACCAGCATATCAATTTCTGACACATGATGCTATGTTAAATATTGACTCTTTTGTATTGTACTAAAGAATATATGAGTGGCAACCCAGCTTGTTTGAACAGTATTATAGTCTATGTATACAAGTAGAGGATTATTGTTCACCACTACCACTTGTTATGTATACTTACCAGTCAATAAATCTTTGATAAGACAAAAAAAATAAAAATAATAAATAATGGATACCTCAGTTAACAATTATCAACTGGGAGGGCAATCCTTATTGAGCCTCAGTCAGGGAATTGTACTTCCAACAAATTGTCGCCCACCATTCATTATCAATGGAACCAAGTCACAATTGTATCTGGGCTGTTTGAGAAGTGGAGCACCTGCTATTCCGAGAGCCCCATTGGATGGGGGAAATTACAGACAACACAGTTCCATGGTTGAGGTCTGGGTAATGACTTAAGCAGCAAACTCACCACTATGCTGAGAGGTGGCATGGAGACTGGTGGAACCCAGGCCGAGGAAATATCTCGCCATGGAAGAATGAACCATGGAAGAGTGAATCAATATGGTTTTCATAAATGGAGCTTGCTGTAGCCTTAACTAGCTTCTTTGAGGCATTTGTAGGCAGTGGCGGCACTAAACTTTGTGAGGCCTTAGGCGAAACTCAAACATGAGGCCCCCAAATAACACCCAAAGTGAAAATAAATAGGGGTTCATTGTGTGTGTATAAGGTGCTGTAGTTATATTGAAGGATGGGCTTGCAACGCTGAATACAGAGCGCTAGTCTGTATACAGAGAGATGGTCTCTGTGTTCATTGTTCAGAGACTTTCAGTGTCGCAGATCCCTGTGCCGCTGCGTTGTAAGCTCTCTGAAGTTATGGCATAATTTACTAACAAAATAATTTGTAAAAAATTAAATTAGCAATTATGCTAATCGTTTGCGGGGTATGGTTACATACCCAGGCAGTCGTGTATACATAAGTGCAGGTGTGTGTGTATTTCTGAGTTTGTCTGACATGGTCTACCTGTGTATGTGCCTGAAAGTGTGTGTCTATCCTTGTGTGTGAATATATATGTCTTTGTGAGCATGGATATGGGACCTATGTGTGTGGGGTAGTTGCTTGCGGTGTGTTTGTTTATGGGGGCTGCCTGTGGCCTTTGTGCATTGTGCTATTGGACAGTTATGTTTCATGTCTGTGTGTGCGCCAATAATGAATGTCTTCAGTTGGTGAGTGTGACAGGGTAAGTTTGCCATGGTGAGGGGGGGAGGGGCCAAATGAGACCGGATTGGGAAGGTGAGTGTGACAGAATAAGGGATGGTGAGAATGATGGGGGGTTGTGACATGACTGGAGGAGGGAGGGTGACAGGATTGGAGGAGGTTAATGTGACAGGGTGACTGTGGCATAGTTGGGGGGGTGGGGAGTTGTATCACAGGTTTCGGGTGAATGTGCCATGTTTGGAGGGAGTGTAACACAATTAAGGGGGTTAATGTGACAGGGTGAGTGTGACAGGGTTTGGGGCGAGTGTGGCACAGTTGGAGGGGTTTATGTCGTAAGGTGAGTGTGGCAGGGTGAAGGGGTGAGTGTGACAGTACAAGAGAAGGTGAGTCTAGCAGGATTAATATGATTGGGAAAATGTGGCAAAGCGAGTGTGGGTAAGTTTGGTATGCTTGGAAGGGGTGAGAATGATAGGATTAAAAGGGGTTAATGAGAGTGGAGCTGAGTGAAGGGGTGACAATGTGTGGGGGCTGAAAGTGATTGGGGATGGTTACAGTGAATGGAGTGGGTGTCAGTGTGTGTATGGGGATGATAGGATGTGTGTTGGGGTGACCGGGTGTGTGAGAGGAGACATGGTGGGGATGACTGTGACAAGGTGTGTGTGTGGAGTGACAGGATTGGTGGCTGTGAGAGGGTGTATGTGGGGGGCTAGGAGGAGGAAGGATGGCTGTGAGGCTGATGGGCTGTGAGAGGGTAGGGGTGCTGTGGCAGGGTATTAGTGGGGTGACTGTGAGTGTGTGTAGGCTGGTTATTCGGTCTGCAGCTGCAGACCACGTGGTAAATCTCACGATCTCCAGTTAGAGCGTTGCCGTGGTAACCTGCAGACTGGAGGCTGGCTCTCCCTCCAGGCAAACTAAGTGGAGGACCCCCAACACAAGAGGGGGCCCAGCAGCTTGCCCTTAATGCCATCGGGCCCCCTCCTGTGTCGGGTCCTTGGTCAGAGACATGTCACACTGCCCTAAGGCAATTTAGGCGGCCGCAAGGCCCCAATCAGCGTGAAGCTTTAGGCGGCCGCCTAAATTGCCTAATTAGAGAGCCACCTCTGTTTGTAGGCGCTAGGTTTTCACTGTGAGGCAAGTAAAGTCTCTGTGTGTCCACCCACTACAATTTCAAGCTTTCGACCTGGGGTGTTTCAGCCTCTAGGTTTGTGCGCAGTACTCTGAATCAGGGCTTTCATGAGAAATTTTGGGGTACCTGACACTGCTCAAGGTCTGAGACCACAGGACCTATCCTGTGTCCGCCCACATGGATGCAGTGTATGTACTGAATGTGGTATATTTATAGTGTATGTGCAGTGGATGTAGTGTGTATAGTGTATGCAGAGTGTGTGTTTGTGCAGTGGATGTAGTGTGTATGTGCAGTGGATGTAGTGTGTATAGTGTGTGCAGAGTGTGTGTTTGTGCAGTGGATGTAGTGTGTATACAGAGTGTGTGTTTGTGCAGTGGATGTAGTGTGTATACAGAGTGTGTGTTTGTGCAGTGGATGTATAAGGAATGCAAAGTGTGTATAGTGTAAGCAGAGTGTGTGTATTAGATGCTGTGTGTGTAAATGTTGTGCTAAATAGGAGCGGTGTTACATTGATTTTAATTTATTTAATTTTATTCCCCCACTTCCTGCTTTTTATCTGTGGCCAGGGAGGAGGGAGATTGCATTTCCTGGTGGTCTAGTGGCATGGTGCAGGCCCCCGGCTACCTGTATACTGCAGAGTGGGTCCAGCACACTCTGTCTTCACTTTCCAGCTGATTCTCTTTAACTCTTGCGGGAGTGTGCTGGGCCCTCTCTGCAGTATACAGGTAACTAGAGGCACGCAGGTTGACACATACAGAGATAATGTCTAAATATGTGCACATAGTGAATGCCGGGCCCGGAACTCCCAGAGCAGTCCAGGCCCATGATAGCTCTCATGGTTCTCATGGCCTGATGGCAGCCCTGCCCTGAACCAAACATTGCAACTGGACTGTATGGTTTTTACTTTACCATGTCCAGAGACTGCTATTTTTTTCTTTCAAACATTGAAAGTTTATGTAAACACTTATAATCTTGTTTTAATGTAAGCGGGTCCTCATATGGGTTATTTCAAATATAATTGTTGAGGTTGACTTTGAGAGTTTTTACCTGCTCAGCTCGCTTACCTTCAGGTATGGTAAAATGTATGAGAATTCTGATTTTAGGGAATAATCTGGTGACAGTCTCTCCCTCAATTTTATTTCTGCTTTCAATCCCTTTCTTTTAACTCTCTAGCTCAATGCAGATTGTTGCTACCAAGCTCTGTCCTCAGCTTCATTATGTTGCATTATGCTGCAATTGTTTAATCCCCCACCCTCCCAAATCAATCTACACTCAATACCTCAGCAAGACAAAGCAAAAAATAAACTAAAATAAAAAATAAAAAAAAAGTAATGGCTTAAAGGAATGGGAAGCTACCGATTGACTTTGAGCATCAGCTGACTGCACTCCACACTTTCTGAAACTGTTTTGAACAAACCAACTCCCGCTGGGACCAGGGAGATCTGGTGTTTGAGAGTAACATTTGGGGTTAATCCCTTCAAGAAAGAAAATGCCAGGGGTCTCTGTGTACCATAATGTTGTTATTTCAATGGTGCCCATACAGTTCCTTAACATATTTAGACCTGTAACTCAGTTTTTTGTTACAGAACTTTTTGCAGTGATTACAGGATTTGGGTAGTTTCTGACATTTATCTATCGCAGGTTGTATTGGTGGATGGACATTTTCAGTGGTTTCCAGAAATGTTAGATTGAGTTCATGTCCTGGCTCCGTCTGGGCCAATCAATGACATTCAGCATGGTCACATAACCAATACGATGAAAGAGTGGTTATGTGCTTGGGGTCATTGTCTTGTTGGAAGGTCAACCTTTTGCCCAGTCTGAAGTCCAGAGTCTCTGTATCAGATTTTTCATTCAGGATATCTCTGTATTTTTCCCAGCTCCTGCGGGAGGGAGAATGGAATAAAATAAAATAAATGGACCGAATAACAATGAAGTTTTTTAAAATGTGGGATTTGGGGCAGGAGGTAGCAGGGTAAAAATGCTAGAATAGGCTTTTGGATTATTCTTTTGTAAATAGGATACTAAATCAGGCATTCAAAAATACACAGTCATTTTAAGTCAAAAGTTAAGAAAATAAGGTTTTTAAAAAAAAAAAACATGCTTATAGGTTTATATAATCCCCCCAGTAGTTTTGCATAATTAAAAGATTACTTTTTTATTGACAGAGTACATAATGTATCTAGGACGTTAATCTGTTTTGGTAGTTACAAATAAAACCTTTTCGTTGTTTTTTGTCAAAGACACTGTTAAAATGTTACTGCAACCAACAGAGTTTCCATAACACATTGCTTTTGGTTAACGTAACCTCCAAGGCGTTCATTGCTCCCCCTCACTGGACAATAGGGAAGAAGGACCCACGGATGGGCTGTGCCACCATTGGCTGCCCAGGGCTAGCTAATGATACGAACGGAGGTGGACATACATCTCTGGCAGCTCAGGGGTTAATTAGACTCCAAGCATTTTGACAACTTCAAATCAATTAAATGGTCACGGTGCTTGGAGTAACCCTTTAATGGTCTGCAGAGAAGCACAAAGCATAGGTTACGTCACACATTCTGAATCTAAACCATTATTCAGAGGGTATTTAGTCACTTTTCATTTGACCATTTTACCATTAATTCCTGCCAATTGCAGTTGCAATACTTTGTTTTATTCTGTGTTTTTCCAAGCATACATTCAAAATGGCATTTTTTTTTTATGTTGTAAAATGGATACATGCACCTACAGTAAAAATGGGAGTAGAGGGGGGCTGCTCGGCTGCATCTCCAACAGACAGCAATATTCATGCTGTACACATTTACCAAGTAATTATGAAGTTATTGAGACAAGGATTACATCATATCCATATCAGTGCGCAGACATGAAAAAGGTCATGGATTTGTCTGATTTGGGGGCATTTTACTAGTTCACAAATTCAACTTGTATGAATGTGGAACGGAAATCTTAAAGTCAGATAAGAGAGATATTTATATATATATATATATATATATATATATATATATATATATATATATATACACACACACACACACACACACACACACACACACATACATACATACATACATACACCCACCAATCAATCTCCTGATCACAGAAACCCTCTCCAACAGGTTTACCTGTGAAAGTCTGTGTCAAGATACTCTAATCCTAACCTCTCTCTGAATCCACCAACTGCAATCCCCTGGCAGAGAGAAGGCCCAAATACGGAGTGCCAGGTAGGAATGGTACTAAACCACAAAGAGTCATGGCCCTTGGGACACAGAGAATGACATTGATCACCGTTAGTTTAAGGGATTCAATAGTGTTATAAAAAAAAAAAAAAAGTTTTATTCCCAACACTATAATGCCCTTTTGGTCCGGCATATTATTTACTTACCCAATTCCAGCGCCAATCACCCTCAGCGCATTGCATCCCTCCTAAGGGGGCTAATGCACAGTGAGCACCACGACTACATTTTGCCTCAATGCTTTCCTATGGGAATTTCACGGATGCTGGATTTCCCCATACAGAGCCCGAGGACATCCAGCGTCAGTTAAGGGACTGAGAGTCTGGTAATCTTCCAGAAACTCCTGTAGTTGCGGTCTGGTAGACAGTCACTAGACTCAGTATTAGTACTGCAATGTGAACACTGGAGTTTCTCAAAAACTGCAATATTTTACATTGCAGCCCTAGGGGACACAGCACCCAGACCACTTCAATGAGATGAAGTGGTCTGGGTGCCTATAGTGTCCTTTTAATAAACTATTCACCAAACGATACATTTTGAACTCTTTAACAGACCAAAATACAGATTACTCTCAGTGTCAACACTAAAGGGTGCCGGACACCAAGTGAAACTCTGGGGCTTGTGCTGTATTTAGAGTAAAATACAATCAGCACATTGTACAGTAATAAGTTGATTTCTGGATCCACAATAGCAATGGCCAACATGACCTCCAAAAAGGTTTGTCAACTACAGTTCCCATGATACACACAGTCAGGACTGGCAGAGGATCATGGGACAAGCTGAAAGCAAAGCTATGGATCCATGGGTTGCCATTAACGACTGGGCATATGGGCAGTGTGCATGGGTTGCATCATTGCCCTAAATGTACAAGTCTGTTGTCCACATATTCTTTCTTGCTGAGATTTCATTACATTTCCCCTAATGGAGTCATAATTTCACTGGTTATTATGTTGAAGAACCCCTACAAGGGCAGGGTCACAACACCTGAGCTGGGTTAAACTCTAATATGAATTAGGATATCTGACAGAGCAGTCTGTAATTTACTTTACCTTTGTCACAGTATTAGGAGGGTCATTAATGTCTATTGATGATCTTTTATTAGTTAACATTATACTTACTGGCTATTACATTGAAAGATGTGGCCCTCTCTCTGGGATGGTATATCAAGTTCAGCCTGGACTGTACCCCCACCTCCTTGCCTCTGAGGGCTCCTAATTGAATACAAATTCTGAGTTAATTAAAAGTCAGGCAGTTAAATTGCAGCAAGCTGGATCTCCCATCCTGTCCCTGTAATTCAGAGCTGGGATAATCTGACAAATGAAGTTGGCAAATCATCGTGTGGTTTGGAAAATGGATAGATGAACAGCTGGAATTCAACTTGAAGACTTTACAGAGTCTGTCCAAAAGGCCCGCCTGTATCTCTCTTCCTCTCTCCCCCTCTGCTGTGCAGTGTGAAGTCATTCTGTTCGAAACCCATTTCCCTGCTGTTTAGTTAAAGAGTTCTTTTAAACAAAAACATAATCAATGAACATCTTGCTTTTCCACGGCCCCTCTCTGTTAGCTATATTAGATATAGGGAACCTTACAGTATCTTTTATATTTCAAACAGAATATCGTTTTTTGGCAGAACCACCTAATCAAAAAAAAGGGTTTAAAGCATTTCTGGGGAAAAAATAAATTAGAAAACACACACACACACACACACACACACACACACACACACGTTTAGATGGCTTAAATAATGCAAACTAATTTAAAATGGTACAAATAATTCAGATATAACGAAAATAAAATAAATATGAGCCTCGCATATAGACACCAGGCTTGCATACAGCAATTTCGTTACGCAAAAAAGAATTTTTGCATATCTTAATTTCCATTATATTAATATACCTGCCATTTTATTATCTCTGGGATATAATTTCTTATCTGATAATAAAATTACAGTGTATACAGGAAACAATAGATTGTGTAAAAAACAAAAAAAAAAATTTTTTTTTAAAAATCTGCACATACATCCCTGGCATAAGGCCAAAAAAAAAAAAAAACCTAATAGAAAATCGGAGTGGAACGTTGTAACAAAACTTGTGTCAACATTCTAATTGGAACGTTCCGAGAGGATAAAAACTGAAAACATTTTTTTTTTTTTAAATCATCATCATCATCATCCATGCACAGTTACATTCACCTATCTAAAAAGTATTTAACTCCTAACGGGGTTAGTGCAGCTGTACAATAAAAAGAATGAAATCGGGAGAATTTTACTATAAAAGGTGCTGCTCTTGGGAGCGGTTGAGACAGAGATGCCCACACGTGTGCACATTTAATAAGCATGATCTATTTGTATAGTGTTGGACAATTGATATTCGATCGCCTAATTTTAAAGGAATGTGTCAGCAGAGAGGAAATTGCATTTGTTTAACCCTTGCGCTGTTGGGTTCTCTGCGGGACAGCTTGGGTTACATGGGAAAAGATGCTTTATACCCAGCCTCAGATCTCTGCTGGTGAGAAATAGCCAATGCCTGGACAGGCTTAAAGTTACAGAGGGCAGAAATCAGGGGAGGGACTGAAAAGTTCTACTTTACCACCTCACACAAAGGGGTCCTTCTCAACTCTGACACTCATTCCGATAGACAGAGCAGAGCTTGATGTCCTGTCCGGGTGTGATAAGAGCAGTTGACAGCGTGAGGTGCGACCACTAGGTGGCAGCATTATAGCGGGGAAAGATCCAGGCAGCAGAGTAGCCCTGTGCAGTTTGACAGCAGATAGAGACACACACAGGGACAGGAGGAGAGGAACAAGACAAACTGACCAGGAGGAGAACATCGCCCTAGGACCATCTCCATTGGGGAATGGGTTTCAGAGAGGACCCCCAAGGTAAGGAATCTTTAAACTTTTAGCAGCTTTCTGTCTGTGGACACCCAGGGTGCTGCAGTGGCTCAGGTTAGTGCACCTTACAGAGGGAGGGCCAGGAGGGGGCATTGTACTGCCAGGTGACAGAGTGACAGCCAGGAACTGACAGGAGAAATGTTGGTTATAAGTGTAGAAATGACATGGCCCCATAATATGTGATGTAGGGTCGTTGTAGGGAGTACATGACGTTCTGTAGAAATGGGGTATTTATACAAAGTTTCAGCCATTGAGGTCACTGTGGATTTTAACTTACACCACCGCCAGACGCAGCCTGTGAGTGACAAACCTCCAATATACATGGTCTCCTGAATGGCATACTGAGTTAGTGCCCTGAAATGTGGTGTTAACTCTTTCAGCGCTGGGGGTTGGGAAGGCTTTTAACACCCAAACAGGAAGAAACGAGTTGTATCAATTGGTTTGTCAGAAGTCTAGCGTGTTGACAAAGCATCTTTAACCATTTCACTGCCAGATGATAAAGGATCTGAGACATGGCTCATCCCTCTGGCACTCAAAGGGTTAACTATTCTTCGTATGACTGAGGTCACAGTAAAGATGAAGGGTATTACCAGAAAAGTCACTTTATATTGCACAGTGTGCGTTAGTGGCTTTGTTGAAATCTCTTTACACAAATCGGAGCTTGGCATGCCAGGTGTTTTTGGACTACCTATCCCACAATGCTCAGGCTGCCTTACTCGGAGCATCATGGGATATGTTGTTTAGAAGCATCTAATGTGCCAATGCTTAGGCCATAAAAGCCATAGTATAAGCTGGTTAAACAGGAAGGGGTAGGGATAGTGATCTGATATTTCATGATTTCATTTTTCCTCCTCATTTGAAAATCATGGCATTTAAAGTAAACAGGGTCAAGTTCAGTTATTGTGTGTGGGCGGATGTGCCAGTACGACAAGAGAGTCATAATTCAGTTAGTAAGTGGAAAACAAAAACAACACACACACACACAGGAAAAAATCCGTATTAAGTTATATATGCATTTACTTTGGGGTTTATTCACCAAACAGCGAATCGCAAACTTTAGCCTGAAATTAGCCAAGCTGTGACTATACCCGAGTTGGACAATGTTTCCAAATAAATGATCAGACTAAAGTTTACAATTCGGTTCCCAATGCAGCAGAATGTGCTGTCTAGTTAGCAGCCCCCAGGATTCGATCGAATCATCTTCGAAACAAACACAGTGTATCATTCTGTGCGGATCACACCGGGCTGTAACAATGCAGATCATCTCACAGCCTTCCTAGCAAGGATCCTACAGGCAATGTATTCACACCCAAATGGATCGTGTAGTTGGCAACATAAAATCTAATAAAATGCATCATATAAGTGACTGCCAACCCCTCTCTGTGGGCGGGTAGCCCTCATCATATTGTCAGTCACAGTGCTGTAAATATCCCCAGATTAATAAACAGATAATATTATTGTGCACACACAGATTGTATATGTAACTGCTGATTATTATAGATATACTACACACAATGTCCCCCCCCAAAAGATGTGATTTTTGTCCTTGTTACAAATGCTTGCAGATAGCGAGATATTGAAATAAGTGCAGGTCCCCAGGGACTCCCCATCGTACCTCCCCAACACTGAGTGATGGAGGGAGAGGCTTCCAGTCTGACACTCATCTCCAGCCTGATGTTAAAGGACTAAATTGAAAGCTGCTGGGGGGGAAAAAAGCAGAGGTCGCTGTCTCTTTAAGAAAAAGTTTTCTATGTGTGTGAAGTTCAAGTTGGGGTCAGTCGAAGTTCCTGCCCTGGATTTTACCTTGTAGTTTAATATAGCTACACATCACATGGGGCGCTAACAGCCTCGGCTCACAGAGAGCCCTTTCTCTCCCCAACATTGCCTGAGCTCACCAAAATAGCAGAGGAAATTGCTAAAATAAAAAGCAGAGGAAACTGATGCTGGGCCCAGCACGTATTAAACAGAGGAAGAGCCTGGGCCCTTTTTTTGGCAATTAATAAAAAAAAAAAGAAAAAAAGAGAGAGAGAGAGAGAGAGAGAGAGGGGGCTGGCAGAAGATCCATGCAGAGTTGGCACATTGGATGGGAGGTTGGCAGCTGGAAGCAGAGCTCAATGTGAGAGGCTGGGGATGGTCACTCATACAGACATCAGCTGCTTGGACACCACTTGGTACCCAGGTAATGGGGCATTCTGGGGGGCAAGGGGCACACGGGCTGGTAGCAACCAATGAATGGGCACTCTAGAGTAAGAGGGGGGGGGGGAGAGAGAGAAATTCCAGGTTTCCGGTGCTGTGGCTTATAGTTCTTGTTTCGCTATAAGGCTGGCTGAGGATATTGGGATTGGTAGTCTATGATATCCAATTTGCTAATCAGAGATTGTGTTAGTTTATGCGCAGTGCGATGGTAATGGGCGTTATTTAGGGGTGAGGTAGAAGCCGTTACAAGGGGCCGGAGAGAACAGAACAGCAGAAAGTTAATTTAGGAAAATGGGCGATAGTTTAAACTCTAATTATATATTTTTTTTTTGTATATTTTTAAATTATTAGGTGCCAAATTGTAATAATTATCTGTGTCAGTGCTGTTATGAGATTACATCCCTGGCCTGACACAAATTAAAATCACCTGGAAGTTTAAAATCAAAAAGTTTTGTATAGGCAGCTCTGTGATCAGAGATCTATCATCAGATCTAATTCGAATTAAACCCCACACATACCAGGCGACCACTTAGAAATATTAGAACAGTAGATTTATTACGAATTCTCTACATGGGGGGTCAAGATTAGATTTTTTTAAATTGGGCTTTTAGACACCTCCATCGTAAGAGCATAGAAACGGTTAAAGCGCTACAATGTTGCAGGTATAACCTGGCTGTTTCGAATTACCTTGAAATACGGGGAGTACAGACGAATTGGTTTTACCTGCTTTGTTGACAAATGATCCACGGGTCCAAGCTTGATCCTACCTGGTTCTAAATCTCTCTCCCGTCTCGGAGAAAATAAAAGTGTTTTCCAATGAGTTTCTGTGTGTAACTGCTTCAGGAGAACTTGGCCAATCCCACCCCAGTGCTGAGCAGCTGCTTTTAATAAGACAGAGCCGGGCTACATTACAGCCCTTAATCCTTTATTGCTAAAAGGAACCTTCATTGTATCGCATGGAACGAGTTAATTGAGCTGGACTCTCAGACTTTTAACCCTAATCCTAGCACCCTGTCTATCTGTGTCAAACATTGAGCCACACATGGGTTGCAGTATTTACCAATATACTTGGTTGCTTGACATATCGTTGAAGCTAATTCTAATGTTAAATTAATCTTTATTTATAGGGAAGATTAACATATTTAAATCTTCTTGGAGAAACATGACAATCTTTCAGTTGTATCACCTTCAGAGGATAAGGTCACAGTTTAGATCTGTCATTCCTACTCTGACTACAGGTTAACAGACATTGTCCAAACAAATAATTTTAAAAATGGTCAATTTAGCATTCTTGCTTGGATTGTGGGGTTAATTGGTGTGTGCAGTAAAATTAGTGTTTCAAATAGCCTACTTCCTTCTTATCACAGCAAGTCTTTTAAACATGCAACAAGTTTTAGGCGAGAAATAAAATTAATATAATTGAGACTTTCTTTTGTTTAAAAAAATAGTTTGTATCTACTTTATAATTGATCTCTTTGCCTGGGACATTATGCTAATTATGTAAGTAATTATAGGTATTGATTTAATAGCTGCAAAAGCCATACAATTCATTATATTGAGATAATTACTATTATGTTATTAGTTTCGATAACAATTTCCAATTTTAGTTTAAACTAATTATAATTTATATAAAATAAATCGTGCCGTGGCTTTGTAAGAAACGAATCATAAACCTTGTAACTTTCTATATTAAAATATATATATATTTCCTTTTTATTGAAAATGTGTTTCTTGTTTGTTGGTCCCAAAGCTGAAACTATTTTCGTAGAAATAGGGATTATAAAAAATAGAAAATCCCATTAGATATAACTTTAGAGTTAAAATAAGTTTTGTATTTTTATTTAGCAGAACTGTTCATTCAATGTCAAAATGCTAGTTTTTTATTGATTTTTTTTTATCTTGAAATTTATTTAGTGTAAATAAAATAGATTAAAAAAAATGAAACGATCTAAAGTCACACTTCCAAGGGGCCAAATAGAGGTGAATAAAGTTTTTGGGTTTTTTTCCTTCTGAACATCATTCTCTTAATATTTGACACCTGTCTAAACAATTGGTTATTTTAGGAAACTAATCATTTTAAATAAAGTAAAAATTATTTCAGATCTAAATATAAAACCAAATTAAAAGAAAGTTATAGGTGTGTTCTGCAGAATTTTGAGGATTTACATCCTTACGGTCATAAGACACCAGGTAGCCTTACTGTCTAAAGCCCACTCTCTCCCTTATCAAATCTTATCTTATCCAGTAAACATGTCTCAAATAAATCAGTGTCTCCCTTTCAGGCTGAGTTCTTGGGAGTGAAACAGTTTGACACTTCAGCCTCATCTCGCTACCTGTAAGGAAATCACAGGAATTAGGAGATCCTGGGGGTCTAAGATTTCACTAATTAGAGCTTTCAGCTGGCCATGCCTTGTCATATCATGCCTGGATATCCCTTTGGATGTGGTCAAAGTCTAGTTCTGTGTAAGGTCAGGAATTGTTCATTTTAATAGTGGTCCCTTTGAAATACTTGCAACATCCTAAGCTACTTAACACCTCATTATATCTTAATATCCTACCAGGTTTTTCAGTGGAGGGAGGTGAGACTGAAGGAATGAGTTTTTTTTTTAAACTTTACATTCCTCCTCCCCCCAATCTTATTTAATATAAAATATATATTTTTTTAATTTATAAACTAATTGTTATAATTTAATATAATAATGGCTGAATATTATTTTCTCTGAACCTCTTTTTATAATGTGACACCTGTCTGACTGCCTGGCCCCTGATGTGTTTGATGGGTGTCTGTCCTCTGACAAGTTACACCTCTGTGGGGCGGCCGCTGGGTGGCGCACTGTCCAGAAGGGAGGCTACTGGACTAAAAGGTGGTGGCACATGTCAGTAAGATAAAAAAAAAGATGGGGGAGGGGGTATCTGTCTGAATGATGGTTCCTGATATGGGGTTTTGCAGCTGGAAGCTGAGGCAGTGATGTCACTTTCTTAAAATGCCTACAAGGGTTTTTAGCCACCCCCAGCCTCATCTTTGAGGAGAATAAAAGCTGTATGTATACAGGGAAAGGTGGTACAAGCCAGCCGATGCAATGAGACAGAAGGGTGGGGGATTTCAACTGTTACTGTCGCAGGCTCACAGCAGATATCCTTTACTCCATCATGGAACCCCTCCTCAAGCAGGTACTCTCATAGGATGTGTCCCAGTTCCAGGGTGCATGGATTGCTGGATGGAATGGATCAGTGTGGGCATTGCTACAATAGTGAAAACTTACATGGCTGATAGGTGATGAGAGCAGTGATACATTTGTCAACGTTTCGCTCTTAGTTCCATTCTGTTTCCACTGGCCTGTAATTCGGGTTAAACGCATCCTTTATCTGTGTGCGTATACATGTGCAGTGCGATTTGAATGTATGTGCAGGTGTGTACGGTTTTTTTTAGATTTATTTTATTTCTAAAAGTTTTAAATCAGTTTTAGAAATTTCTATTCCCCCCCCAAATTCTGTGATAGCTGTAATTTAAATGTGAGATTGTCTAGCTTGTATTTTGCACATTCACATGAAAAAGTTAAGTTTGCAAGTTTTAAAAAAAGAAAAGTGCTCTTTACCGACGGAGGAGGAAATTGTATATACATTATTAGCCTAATCACTGACATGTGAACCATCCACCGAGGTGTTTATTTGGGTTTCATTTAGCACAAATGGTGACAGCTGTGCGGGCTTATTAAAAGGAAACTCGTGCAAATTTGAGATACTCGGAGATATAGCATTAATTCTATTACTAGGAAATGGTACAATAATTGCACATTGGTGTTTTTTTTGTTTTTTTTAATTAACTGCTAAATTTAGTTTCACTGAAAATCCGGTATTTGGAAAAACTCTAATTTGTGGGTAGAGTCCTTTTTAACCCCTTAAGGACCAAGCTTCTGGAATAAAAGGGAATCATGTCATGTGTCCTTAAGGGGTTAAACGGGTTTCAGTGCACTGCATTGCAGGCCCAGTGGAGCTTCCAGTGACAATTCTGAGTTTGGGTGTAAATTTTTCTATACTACTGGGGAGGGATGGGATCTGCCTTGTGCCCATCTCTGCCAACAGATGTTTTGGAAGTTAGTGAAAGTTACATTGTAACCATGCAGGATAGATTGTTTAATGAGTGTTACCATTGATTGTGGTCCTGTGCTAGGCATTGCTGTCATAAGGATTCTGGCTCCAGCCATCTCCCTGATGGAGATTGAATTATGTGTGCTATGTTCTGGAGGCGATGTGTTTACTTTGCAAAGACTGGGAACTAGATAACAAGAGCTGCAGCTGGGGAGAAATAATCAAGAGAATTAGATCCCACTTAGGATATGTCACTGATTTCCCCCAATCCCCTCCCTCATTCCACTGCATTTGCACCCACACCCAGGCATAGAACAAGCAGTCATTGGCACAGGGTTCTCTCAATCCTCTGCCCAGTATCTACCCAGGGGTCATATCTAGCAAGGAGTCTCCAGATCAGCTCCAGGAACTCAGGGAATGTAGATGTCAAGGGTCTGTGTGCTTGTCATTTCCCTAGTATTGTCTGCTAGTGCTAACATAGGGCTGTCTGTGCTGACAAGTGGGCTTTGTTCACTAAACAGCGAATCCTAGTGAATTGAAAGTTATAAATCTGCTTTTAGCTCTCATTAAATTGCCCAGGTTTTATCTGCTGTATCTCTCCATATTCATTATTTAGAGAAGGGATTAGCCAGAAGGCCCCATTGCAAGTGTCAAGCTAAGCATTATCAATATATATTGGGGATTTATTGTATTAATACATATTTGGAAAAGTACTAGGGTTTTATTTAAGAATTTCTCATGACGGCTTTTGGATATTTCTGTAAGGCTTTATTTACTAAACAGTTCATTGTAGCGAATTAAAATTCTGATGGCAAAATTCTTCATCCCAGCTAGTATCACAGCTTGGCTGCTTTTTTGCCATTTTAATTTGTTTTCTATGAGTTGGAGTTTAGTGAATAAACCTCGTAAAGTACTAAAAAGGCATTTCCTATGACTGCATTGAACAGTGAATTGAAAACAAAACCGCAAAATTTAGGGTTAAATAGCCTAGTTGTCACTTATAGAGGAGTTGGATAATTTTTTTGCAAATCAGCACTTTGTCTAAATATATGTAAATTTTGCTAATCTTATGCCAAAGTAGTCAAATTGGAAGAAAAAAATCGCTGATCTAAAATGTGAAATTTTCTTACAATTCACACCAATTTCACTTTTAAGAGAATTATACCATCAACAGAAAGAAATGTATGAGATTATAGGGTGATGTGTTCGTGAGGGGTCTCTCCTATTAATGGGTAAATACCTCTGCTTTTCCCTGCCTTGCATATACCTCTATAATGGCATTCTAATTGTCTTTTTGTATACAAGTATCTGTATGTAGATATAAATGTGTCATATTTGTGTTTTCTGAAGGTGGACAACTGAACACGATGCTGGATGCTATGGAGGTACCAAGTCATTCAAGACAACTCCTTCTTCAACTCAACAGCCAGAGGACTAAAGGCTTCCTCTGCGATGTGATCATTGTGGTACAAAATGCCCTCTTCAGGGCTCACAAGAACATTTTAGCTGCTAGTAGTGTCTACTTGAAGTCACTGGTTGTTCATGATAACTTGATCAACTTGGACCATGAAATGGTCAGTCCCAGCATCTTCAGGATAATACTAGACTTCATCTACACAGGAAGACTTGGAGACGGGGAGCCAACAAGTGAGCAACTGTTTGGGGCCGTGTTGGCTGCCGCCAGCTATCTTCAGATCTCAGACTTAGTCTCTCTGTGTAAGAAGAAGCTCAAGAGGAATGGCAAATACTGCCATGTAAGGAACACAGGCTACTCTCCTTATGGAAGCCTGGCCAGAGGGCTGAGAGCTGCCACTCCAGTTATTCAGTCCTGTTTCACCTCTACTCCAAGACCTGTAGACCTACCACCAGTGGAGCCAGTGAACCCCATAAACACTCACTGTGGGGAGCTATATGCCTCTGTATCTCAGGCCAATCAGCTGCATCAGCATGGACTTTGCCCACCTGAAAGGCACTGCTCCCCTTTATGTGGCCTTGATCTCTCCAAAAAAAGTCCAAACAGACCTTCTGCCCAACACCACTCAGATGGACTCAGTGCAAGTGACAGCAGGGAGCCTACCATATCTGGGAGACCTGACAGCCCACCAGTAAGTGCCAGTGTTCTCACCAACCACAGCTCCTATAAAGACCAGACCCATCCTTACCAGAAGCTGGACAGTAGTGACCAACAAGCATCACACCCTGAGCCCTTCAGAACCAGTGTCACCCAAGACACCCCCAGCAGGACTGACCCCCAGGAACTGATGTTCCGCTGGATGAAACATGAGCCTCTGGGAAGCTATGTGGACGAGAGTGACAGAGAGAAAGACCTAGAAAGGGATGATAAGGGAGAGAACTCCCCCTTATCCCAACAGCCCAGGTACCCCAGCATTGAAAGCAATGAGCCAGATGATGACAAAAGCACAAGTGAGGAGACTGGAAGCAGTGGAGACCCCTCCCCTTCAGCCAACATGGAGAGATACCACTGTAACCATCTAGGCTATGAGCCTGAGAGCTTTGGAGACAACCTATATGTCTGTATCCCCTGTGGCAAAGGGTTTCCCAGCTCAGAGCAACTCAATGCTCATGTGGAAGCTCACAATGAAGAGGACCTTTACCATAAAGAGAGCATGGACACACCTGTGCCATTCTTGGACAAGTCCAGCCAGGGCTTGGGGGACATCATCAGACCTTACCGCTGCTCCTCTTGTGACAAGTCCTACAAGGACCCAGCCACTCTGAGACAACATGAGAAGACTCACTGGCTCACTCGTCCTTACCCCTGTAGCATTTGTGGTAAGAAGTTCACCCAGAGAGGGACTATGACTAGACACATGAGGAGCCACCTTGGACTGAAGCCATTTGCCTGTGATGCTTGTGGTATGCGCTTCACTCGCCAGTACCGCTTAACTGAGCACATGAGGATCCACTCAGGGGAGAAACCATATGAGTGTCAGGTGTGTGGGGGCAAGTTTGCCCAGCAGAGGAACCTCATCAGCCACATGAAGATGCACACCACTGGACCAGATGGGAAACCCAAGCTGGACTTCTCTGACAGCGTCTATGCCATGGCCAAGTTCACTGCAGATCATCTTGGCTTAAAACAAGAGAAAGCAGCAGAAATTCTATCCCAGACCTCACATTTCCTCAATGATCCTAAAACCATAGAAAGCCTATACCCTCTGGCCAAATTTACAGCAGAGCACTTAGGACTGAGCCAGGAGAAAGCTGTGGAAGTCCTCAGCCAGAGTCAACATCTGGCCAACGACAGCAGAATCATAGAGAGGTTCTCATCGCCTTAATGTATTCCTCACCTTGGGTGTGAACACTTTGGTTGCACAATGATCCATCAAGTAAAAAATAAGACTCCTATGTGAACCTACAAACCAATTATCAAACATTACCAAAGAGCTCGCTCTACAGAACTTTTCCTTGGCTGTAGAGAAGCTTGAACCATGCAAGAGCCAAAGACCTTTTTAGTGGCAGCTTTAATCTGTGATACCTGTGTGACAATGAGGAGAAGCGCACTTTGGTAATGCACTTTCTGAGGGACTTGTGCAAGTGTTCTACTGCACTATCCCCACAGGAGAGAAGTGAGTCCATGTATCCCTTCAGTATGTACCCAACCTCACCACTGCTTCAAGGTATTGGAGAGAGTTGCTGCTTTAACTGTGCCAAAAATATGGCTGGACATTTATTTTGATACCTTAATATTTTTTTATGTTATGTGTTGTGTGAGGGGACTGTCAGGGACACAGAAATCAGTATTTACCAAATATAATAACTATGCAATATTAAGGGTTCTGAAAGTCTCAGAGATGGCAAACTTTGCTGTTTACGTTTTTTTGTTTTTCTTCATTTGGGATTACCCCTTTGAGTCCATGCCCAACATGCAATATCCATATTTAATATCTAGTGGCAAAGTGTATGATCATTATCCAATACAACGGATGTTTACTGCAAACCAAGATCTAGTCTTTGCACAGCTATCAGTCTTTCTCCTCTCAATGACAACTTTGAAGACTTCAAGTGACACAATTCACAATAAAAGTGACTGAGGCACAAGTTGGGCCAGTCATATAGATCTAGTGTCTCAAGCATCATGTGCAGATTTTGAGACTTGTTTCCAAACTGCATACAAAATAAGTGGCATAGCTCAGGGCTGGGCACAGTGTGGATCTCCAGCTGTTGTGGAACCACAACCCTCATGAGGCTTTGTAAGATTTAAGTAAAATATTACCGCAGGATGGAGACAAAAATAATGCAAATGATGCACTAATCTGAGCGTTAAGTACTTCATTATGTCCATATCAGATCAGCTGTGGGTGTATAGTCCCAGAACAGGGGCCATTACAGGGAACCTCCCTATCAGAGCAATACCAATAAAATCCCTAGTTTCCCAAACTGCCTCCCACCCTATCATGGTGTGGGGGCACAGGCTGGGGGGTGGCAGTGATACTGATTTCTGTTGTCTGCACTGTGTATGGTTTCTGTTGTATGAATCAGCCTATATTGCAAGCACTGAGTGAGTGCCTTAATTAATTAAACTGATTGGGGCCTGTGAGACTATCACAGCAATAAACCAAACTTTATTTCACCATAATAATGCTGATCAGCTGTTTTGAGCTATTAATCCTTTTCGTGCCAAAGGGGTGGCATTGCATGCATTGTACTCGACAGGTTAAATGCAATAACCCTTATTCAGCTAGGTGAAACCAAAGGGTTCATCCCAAATGTTGCACCAGTCAAGGTTGGTGCGCAAATAGAAGATATATATATCTTAATAATGCTGGTATGAGTAATGCTCTATCCCAGGGGTAGGCAACATTTTGGCACCCTAGATGTTGTGGACTACATCTCCCTTGATGCTTTTGCGAGCATTAAGGGAGACGTAGTCCACAACTTCAGAAGTGCTGAAGGTTGCCTAATCCTACTCTGTTCATTCCTGTACATGGTTTGGTTGTGAAGACGAAAGATTAACCCTTTGCCTGACAGAGAGATGTAAATGACACACTGGCAGGGCGAGAAACTCTATGCTTAGACACACCTGTAAATAGAAGCTGTAACTTTAACTGAAAACCAAAGAAACCAGCAGCTTTTGGGTTAAACCTTTTCACTAACTCATTGTTTGCCGGTAACTGTCTTAAATCAGTTAGAAAGTCCTGTCCTCAGTGTTTTTATAGCAGTAGGCTTTATCTCCCCTACCATTGCTGTATTTATTCATGTGAACAGATCTGGCTAATACGTTATGCGAATCACAGCTCCTACAATGCTCAGCCAGCCAGGAGAATGTAGCCCATACAATCCATGTCACATTGAGACCTTTCCAGGGTGGATCAGTGGGTTATGTTTGCAATATCAATCCAATATTCCAGATCAATACATTTAGTGCTATAGATTCCATGACCCATTCCCTGTCGGCTGTTTAAACTGCGGTTCCACATCCTCTAACATCATAGGATTTGTTTGCAACAATGTGGTCAGTCAGCTGACTGTATATAGTTAACCCTTTAGTTCGTGACAGGACAGGAAGGGTGCAAAAAAACAAAGTTGCTTCCGAATTTTATGATCTATTATTTTATTAGAAGATAATACGCTCGTTCAGTCCAGGATGTGGGCATATCAGTAGCTGTACAGATGGCAGTATAGCAATACCTTTGTGAAATTAAATTTACCCTTTGCCAACCAGTCTGATGCCAGTCTTGCCCCTTCAGGGTATAGTTACACTGTCATGGGGTATCTAGGAGTCCAGATTCATAAAATGGCATCAGTTCTATCACTCGAGAACACAGGGCATAAATAAAGGGACAGACAAAGGATGGTTCACTATTTGAAGAATTCAAATTCGTGTAGAATCTATTTAAGTTAATGTGGAAATTAAAAAGGGGAGTTGTTAAATGTCTCATTCAGACTAATGGGATTAGTAAATTGTTAACCGGACCAATGGTTTGAGAAAGTATCAGTTAAACCAAAAATGAACCTTTTCTATTTATCTCTGAAATAATCTGCCCAGGCATGGTGCAGCCTGTAATGTCACTCACACTGATGATACATAGTGACCTAGAGAGAATAACCCAGGTTTGTAGAATGCATCTTCCATCAGTGATGGCTGAGCTTGGCACTCCAGATGTTTATCATGAACTACATTTCCCATGATGCTCATGGCAGGCTGAGCATTTTATTTATATATATATATATATATGAGTGTGTGTGTGTATAAAAATTGGGGGGTGGTTACCTAAGTTTGTCTGGATGCTAAGAACTATTGGGGAGTAAGATCTGGAGTGTCAGAGGTTAACTATCCCTTGTGTTGGAGGAAGTGAAGCTTTGACAGGACCTGTCTCCTCTCTAGACCTAGCTGAGATCAGGCTGCACCATGTCACATCTCATATGTCATGATGCAGGAGGCGAGAGAGGAAAAGGATTGAGCCAAGACTTGGCATCAGCAGGACGTCCTGTATTGTTTGACAAACAATGGAAAAAAAAATCTTTGAAAAAGAGCAGATTCTACTAAAGTGAGGATGTTCAGCTGGGGGGGGGAGGAGAGAGATGGAAACTTGCAAACTGATACGTCATGGGAGAGTGTATGAAAAGGGGGTCAAGTAGAAAAGGCTCGAGCCTATAACAGTGTTATTTACTAAGGTGAGAATTCAAAGTTAGTTTCACATTTAAGGCCAAAGTAACTGAGCGGGAAGAGGATTTTTCTAGTTCGGCTATTTTGACCTTAAATTTGAAATGCCGTTTTACAATTTAGTTTGCTATTGCGATACAATGATGGTCTCTTTGTGTTAGAACCTTGTTAATTTACCCGATAAGGACCAGACCCCAATGTAGCATGAAGTGTTAAAATGAATGTAGCACCACCTGATCACTGCCTCTTGGTGTTCAGGTAGAATGGGTTAGCTTAGTACATAGCCCGTTATTCGGGGACAGGTTGACTCTGCTGGCTGGGGATGCGGTGTTTCAAAGGTTAATGCTGGAAACTGCTGATCTGTTTCTTTGACAATGGAGTTAGAGCTCCTGAAACTACATAGATCACCTGCCTGCCATGGGAATTCCTCAATCACAGAAAAACAAACACACACATTCCACGTGAAAGGGTTAATGTGCTGTGCAAGGATTTATGTGATCACCTAAAGTCAATAAATCGAGATTTGGACATTCAAAAACTATAAATTTTCTGAGAACTCGATGTGCCTTATCGTAGGTGGACAGATTTAGTCTTTTAATTTAATAATTTGCCAACTACAATAAACGTTTTCGTTTATTCTCGAAACTCCACTGATAGTGGATTAAATGCGAGGCGATCACCTACCTACCTAGGGGTAACAATACCACTATAACAAGCTAACCACTTCACTGTCTCACCTAAGGTATATCACAGCACTGAAAAGGTTAACCACAGAGGGTCATTACTAACAGAACATTCTATTGTCTCCTGGTAACCGAGCGTTGTTGTATGTAACCAAATCTGGCAACAGTTTCACCCAATGGATAGTAGGGGTTGTAGTCCAGCCTTGCATAATTTAAAGAGCAATGACCTGTCCATACTGTATGCATCGCTCAATGCAGTATATTGTCGCTATAGGGTGAGATTTGTGAAATGAAGTTTGCCACTATTGTAATATTGTATATAGAATTTAATAGAGAACAGTAAGCAGAGAGGCTGCCCACCAGGGACTGACCACTTCATTCTTTGCTGAATGTTTGCTATATAAGATCTTGGAACATGACAGTATGCTCTGTACATATGTGGGCTGCATTGTCAGAAATCCCCCTATTTTCCCCTTAAAGGTTCACTGCACAGCTGGATCCCCCAGTCTCCAATGACTGATCAGTGGGGACCTGTAACGGGAAGCCTGCTGTTCAGATGGGAGCTTGAAGGACTCCATGTGGTCTCATTATAGGGAGCCTGTTGTCCCATATTACACCAGGTTTAAGTGTGTGTAATTTGTATTTTTTTTTATTTTTTTTTGCCTGTTGCACAAAAGGTTTAGACGTGAGGGGGAAATGTACAAGGCTCTGGCCACAGGAAGCCGCACCCCAAAAATAGTAACTGGGAAACTATTTATGTTAAAAACTATCCCCACTAAGTGTTGGTTGGAATTTGCACCTGGATGCTATCCAAATCTTCCCAGGAAACACAATTCAGAATAAAGCCCCAACGAATTGGCTCACTTAGTGGACCCCCTCCTCCCCTTCCACCCATTACCGGAGTTTGATTCAGGAATTTCTTCTGTTGATTTGAAATCCATGTAAATAAACCCATATATGTCACCAAACAAACATGCCAGCTGTTTCTTCTCCCTGCCTAAAGACATTTTCAGCCAAGTTATTTGTCCTTTAAGAACTTCACAAACGAACTGACCATGCAGGCTGGCCTTCCGCACCGAGCGGAATAAGCACGAAAGTAACAATTCGTTTTGATTAACAGAATTAACAGCAAGGAAATAATTGTCTGAAAGGGAAATGGTGAAGAGAATTGCAAATCTTAAAAGAAAAATTCAAATTTTGGCGAAATAGATAAAATTCAGAAAATGAAATCAGCTCTTGGTGGCTTACTGTCTGTGAGTAATAGGAGTTGCAATCCAGCAAGGACCTGAGGGGTCATGGCTGAAGTTAGCAGGCTTGGGGAGGTGTGCAGCCAGCTGCCCCTGATTTGCAGGTGCAGGATGTTTCGGGGGCTCTAAGGATGCCCGCATTGGTCCCTATGAGAAAGCTCTTGAAGCAATCACTAGGCTCACATTTCACAGCTAATTGCAGCCACAGATTGCCAGGTGCAGAACAGTTTTATAGCTTCAGGGAACTCTGTACTGGATGAAGGGGGAGATATATCCTGCAAAAAGAAAAAAAACACCTTTCCCACCTCCCCTGGTCTGAGCCTACACAGCAGAAATGACTTTCTGGGAGTTTAGCAGAAGTTCCTAATGGATGAAGGTGGAGAGGAAAAGGGGATCTATTTCTTAAATATGTTGGGTGAAGCCCATCCCCACGGAATAGCTCTTTAAAAAGACAAGTACACGGTTACCATCCACCTTAATATGTGCTCCACACCCTGCACTTTAAAGTGATGGATTGTTTAGACAGAGTAAGTGGGTTTACATTTGAAATCGTATTAGTGCCTTATCTTCATCACTCCAGGGTCTGTGTGTTCAGTCATTTTTGCAGCTAATCTATTTGAAAAGCAATCCAGTCAAACGCCAGAGACTCAAATTCTAGAACACCCATCACTCCATTTCATATCCAGATCATTGTGCTTCATTGTCCCAGAACTGGACATAACGAAATCGATCTAATTAAGTTGTCAATTATAGTCATTTAATAAAGTCTGGTAGAGGGACACAGAGGATCTTGGGCTACAGACATTTAGCTAGAAGTAGACTTGCCAGATGTTTTCCAGAACACACAACTACTGACTTACAGTACATGAAAAGTGCTACCCAGAATTATGACAAGTCATGGTGATAATATACTGACCAAGGCATTGATTTAGGATTCATCAGTGATTTCATGTATATAGTGCAGCATGTGAGGCATAGCACACAGCAGCACTTTTCATGTACAGCCCATAAGCATGTAGATTTAACATCTGTGTAAAATGATAACCCTAACTAGCAACAGCTAGCCTATTGACCATCTGTGTAACAACCACATAATGGGGACTTAGGTACCCCTAAAATGAGTAACAAATGTATCCTTCCACCATTATTTTTAATGTATACAGCTGCATTCATATGCCATTAATTAATAACATAAACAGGGAGTAGCAAGTTTGCCTTCTTAGCAGACTTCAAGCCAGATGGATTTTGTCAAAATTTGAACTTGTAAGTAAAGTAATATACAATCCGCTGCTTGATCACCAAAAATTACATCTCCCCCCTAGTATAACATCACAATACTATGTTATTAACTTTGTGAATGCAAGAGGTGAGTCTAACTTCTGGTACTCGGAGAGTTAACACAAACTATCACAGCTGCACTCCAGATATCATTGACTACAAGTCACACTAGATTCAGTATGTTGGTAAATGCAGTTCACCCATATATGTCCCTTTAAACCTTTAGCTGTATATTTCTCACCCCTCTGGGGCAATGGCATGATGCATTAATGGCCTGTTGGGCCTCCTGGGCTCTGGGACCCCATATGTGTCTTATCTTTACCCTTCAGCAGAAACACCCTGCAATGCTCCTCAGTGGGTGTGTGATTTGTGTATAATCAAATTCCGATAATTATTATACATACCTACAAGCACATTACTCACACAAGTCCCAGCTCAGCAAAATGCACGCCTTTGATGACCTAGACATTTAAAAAACATTACAGCTCCCTTTGCTAAGGCACATGACCAAGAAACCAGACAGTGTTTTTTTGTACATTATCTACTTATTTTTTTTTTCCTTAAGTGAATGTATTTATTGCATGTCCATGCATTTCTAATTTCACAAGTCTGTATAAAATGCTTTGGTTGGAATCTGTTTTTTGTAAGTTTTGTTTTTTTTATAAACAATGTGTGTTAAGAATTAATTTGAAAAAGTCTTCAAATTTTCTATACTCTGATAAAAACAAGCAATAAAAACATATTGTGAACAATGTCAATGCTTTTCTTTTTATTTATTTTTTAATAAACCATGTTGGACACTAGATAATGCGGTAAATAGATATAAAAACCTGCAAAACCAAGCAGCATTAGGTTCACACGGCCATGATGGGGGTGTAACATGTAGGAGTGACAGTTTCAGGAAGTTGCGTTTAAGTTTTTTTCTGTGAATTTCACCTGAATGCGACAATTTCTGTTTTTTGGGTTATAAAAAAAGATCATTGCAAAAATAGATCTCATTAAATACAACTGCCAGCAATGAGAGCATGCTGGGAATATAAAACATAGTTCTAGAATATTTTCATGCAGTCCAGGCATATGCAATAACTGTGCATACATAGCTTACTACATACGGTTTTATGTCCTTAAAGGGGAACTGCAGTCATCATAGCCACCACAGCTTATTGTAGTAGTTATGGTGTTAGAACTCTATGTTAGCGGTTCTGATATTTTTTTTTCGAATTGTTTTGAAACAATGTGACCAAAAAGATAGAATTCCATGCATCCAAAATCTCCGCTTTCAGATTCATTATTATATCACAAGCAGAGAAGACAAGCTTTGCGTGCTAAGAGCAAGTCCCTGACAATGGTTTAACAAATTATTACAGAATACACCCATGGGCACTACAATAAGTTATACTAGTTATGATGAGTGTCGCTTTAAGTGAGCACAAGTATTGCTAAAACTCATTCAACAAACTCCCCACAACCCAAAAAAATCTTCCAATAAAAAATTCAGAACAAAAGAAAAAAAACAAATACATCTGTGGGTTTTTACTTACGAAATTGAAGTGCGGAGAATTATTCCCAATTGGTGTACTATTGCCTAAAGTTATAAAATTGTGGATTCTTTTTATATTTAGAGAACAAAAACACTGAATTTTAAGGTTATGAGAACTAAATGTAAAAAAACACAATAGGCCAAAATTGGCAAGTTTTTCCAAATATATGTTTTTAAAATGTTTTATATATATACATTGAGAGAAAATAGTATTTGATCTCCTGCTGATTTTGAACGTTTGCCCACTGACAAAGAAATGATCAGTCTATAATTTTAATGGTAGGTGTATTTTAACAGTGAGAGACAGAATAACAAATAAAGAAATTCAGAAAAATGCACGTCAAAAAAGTTATAAATTAATTTGCATGTCAATGAGTGAAATAATTATTTGATCCCCTATCAATCAGCAAGATTTCTGGCACCCAGGTGTCTTTTATACAGGTAACAAACTAACAAACTGATATTAGGAGCACTCTATTAAAGGGAGTGCTCCTAATCTCAGCTCGTTACCTGTATAAAAGACACCTGTCCACAGAAGCAATCATTCAATCAGATTCCAAACTCTCCACCATGGCCAAGACCAAAGAGCTGTCCAAGGATGTCAGGGACAAGATTGTAGACCTACACAAGGCTGGAATGGGTTACAAGACCATTGCCAAGTATCTTGGTGAGAAGGTGACAACAGATGGTGCGATGATTTGCAAATGGAAGAAACACAAAATAACTGTCAGTCTCCCTCGGTCTGGTGCTCCATGCAAGATCTCACCTTGTGGAGTTTCAATGGTTCTGCTAAAGGAAACAGGACAACTGCACAGCATCAAAGGGACGATGGACAGGGCCATGTACTGTCAAATCGTGAGTAAAAACTTTCTTCCCTCAGGGTGAGCATTGAAAATGGGTCATGGATGGGTATTCCAGCATGAAAAAAAAAAAAAAAAAACCAAAAAAAAAAAACCACACAGCCAAGGCAACGAAGAAGTGGCTCAAGAAGAAGCACATTAAGGTCGGGAGTGGCCTAGCCAGTCTCCAGACCTTACTCCCATAGAAAATCTGTGGAGGGAGCTGAACATTCGAGTTGCCAAACGTCAGCCTCAAAATCTTAATGACTTGGAGAGGATCTGCAAAGAGAAGTGGGACAAAATCCCTCCTGAGATGTGTGCAAACCTGGTGGCCAACTACAAGAAACATCTAAACCTCTGTGATTGCCAACAAGGGTTTTGCCACCAAGTACTAAGTCAAAGGGGTCAAATACTTATTTCACTCATTGACATGCAAATCAATTTATAACTTTTTTTGACATTTGTTTTTCTGCATTATTTTTGTTGTTGTTCTGTCTCTCACTGTACACCTACCATTAAAATACACATAGCATTAAAATTATATACTGATCATTTCTTTGTCATTGGGCAAACATTCAGAATCAGCAGATCAAATACCCGTACACATATATTCACTGTTATGTAGATACTAAAATTTATGACTTTGGGCTATGTTAGGTTGGACACCCTACATCTGTAATTTCATACACAAACTGTATTGAACAAATTCATACATGTTTTGAGAGGAAAAATTAGCTGCAGCAAACTGATAGAGCAAATCTATAAACAAAAAGTTAAGATTAAATTGCTAAACCAATCTTAAAATCGATTACTCAATATATTCCAGTTTATTACACTCTTGCCTTAAATATGATTAAGGGATTGGAGAGTATTTAATAAAACCATTTTATAATTTTTGACAGGGTTGTTAGAACAATCTTCGAATGCTATGACCCATATAACAAAGCCACATAACCCAAAACGTTAAATTTTTAACATTGCTTTACATTTTAATATTCATTAAAGAGGCACTATGACTTCTCTGGAATTTACACCTTTCAATTAAACATTACAAATTACCTCTAATTGAGTTAACCATTTTTTTTTTTTATGTGAAGCTCAGTTTTCTTTTAAATTTATCAAAATCACATAATCCAGTTCAGAAAAGGCAAAGCAAACACGGCAAACAAAGATAAAAAGAAACATTAATTTCTTGTCTTGTCTCTATGCTTTTTCTCTGCTGATTGATTAGATGCAAAGAACAGTTTTATTGGCAGTGATTGACAGGTAGCTAAGATGGAGGTGCCCGGTTGTAGAATAAAGAGCTGTGGATTTCTAATTTAATAACTGCTGGATGCATCCATGAATTCTGCCCTAAATAGGCCACATTTCACTTTTTTTTTTAAAGAAGGGAGGTATGGGTGCCATTTACAGTCTTTGTGCAAAAACAAATTGGGGACTAATGGAATCCTGGCTGATTCAGTTTATTTTATCTGTAGTGTGAAGATCAAGACTAGTGGAAAGGGAATAGTACACGTTAATAGGGATTTTGGACTACATTTCGTTTTTCAGTGCTTGCCAATGCAAAACAAATGGCTTTTAATGTATTAACGGAGTTAGAAAGCAAGGCGTTACACAGGGGATACAAGGCTTAGATATATATATTTTAACAAACTGTTATGTAGCAAATAAAAATGTATGCAGAAAACTTGAATTTACTTGTTGCAAAAAAAATTATAAATCGAGGTGGAGTGACTGATTAATAGCTATACCTTGTTTTCCAATACATCAGAGAAACGGAGTTAGAAAGGCATTATCTATAAAAATGCTCAGATATTCTGCTTACAGGCAATACAGATTTCCAAGCTGCAAGAAGCAGGTGTACATCCCTAACTATACCTACTGAAGTCTCTATTCTGTGCACTGTAAATGAGAGCCTTGAAGGCTCCTGTACAGTAAGGGAGAAAAGATGCTATGTACCTAAGGCAGAGAGACCAATGATTGCCAGTCTTGGGACACTTTGGCTTTGATTTTAATAATTTTGGATAAGCATTTCAAATCATTTAATATATATTTTTTTTATATACAACTTTAAAAGGATTTTTTTTTAATGTATATTTTTTTATTATTGTAAAAAGATCATTTGAAAAGTTTATTCGAAAATATTAAATGAAGACCTTTATTTGGAAACACGGGGAAAATGTTGGGGCTCTAAAACAATTGTATACACATTTAGTGGCTATTCCACCTAAAACTGTTGAATTAAGTGGTATATTTTTTTTTTAAATAAACATGCAATGTATTTTCCGCTCATGCTTGCTTCTAAGGTTGCCTCCAAAGAAGAGGAAAAAAATATAATTGAAATGAATAATATTTCAAAAACAGCGTAAGAGAACAGGTAAAATCATGCCCTATGATTGGGGTCTAAATGGGAGCATCTTGTTGCAGGGCCAGATTTGCCAATACATAGCTGCCTATCTACAAGCACCTGTGTGATTTCTTTCCCTGAATGAGGTTTATTCCAACTGGACTGTTCATTTAAGAAACAAAACACGACTGTACGATTTGTAACTATACTAAACAGTCAGGATTTGAGAAAGTAGCCGTTCTGCCTGAAACAGTGCTTTTCTAGCAGTATCTTAAAAGAATAATATAATTTGGGGTAGAGCTTGCCTGGACCGATACTGTTGGGGACTTTACAGAGTAGGAATTAGTTTTCTAACACTATAAATGAATTACATTAAAAAAAATTGCACAATAAGTCATACAAATCTTATGATAGTGACACTAAAAGCGTGGCATACAGCTTAGCGCTATATAGCAACGGAAAATACAATTGGCCTTATTTAGCAGCAAATCTTTATGTATTTACACAATATACCATTAAGATTATCTACACATACCAACCAGGCTTAACCTTTGTTTTATTGGTAGGGTATCTGCCTGTAAGGCATCATTTTTCTTTACAAACATCACGTAGACTAAAAGCTATTTTAACCGAAATATTGCCATTCTGATTTCAAATGGTCATATTTTATAGTTTAGTGACTATACCATAGAGTACCAACTTCTACGTGAGATAACTAGATAAACAACTTACATTCTTTTGTTTTGTCTTTGGGGTAAACAATAGCAATTACCCAGATCAGTTGGTCTGACGGTCTACTCTGAACAGTTGTTTGCAAACAAAACAAGGAGTATAATGCACACACTTTAAACGGGGGAATACTTCCTGAAGGGTGCTCCAGAAAGAGAGGGCCAATCCCCGAAGACCTCAAATGGAAGAAAAGAAATATCTAGGCACACCTGAGGTTTCTTCTTAATAAAGGCTCAGAGAGGAGCCGAAACGTTGTCTCCACTACCTTGTTTCA